CCCCGACTGTTTTAGGCACGTTGTACTCCTACGGTGCGCGCTAAGCCTGCAGCACTGACTACGTGAACTGTCGCTGCAGCTGGTTTTTTTTTTATGCTCCGCGCCAATCCTCGTCGTCGTAGTCGCTCTCTGTCGTTCGCTCAGTGCAGTTCGTGCTTCGATGCCTGTAGTCCGGTCGCCCATGTTGCAAGCGCGTTCATTTTTTTTTTTACCGTAAGTGCACCTTCTTGTAGCCCGAGATAGGTCACTTGAAAGATTCCTAAGTCGCTCGACCTGCGAACTTCGGTCTTGAGGGCGTGGTCGTGTCCGCTATCTCGGCAGACATCGGTAGACAGCTCGTGTATACGTTCTGTGCTCTCCCGACAGATTGCGTGAAAACCGCTTCGCACCCTGCGGCGGCCGTATTGGCTTAAAACAGTGTTTTGAGCGCATGTAGTTAGACGAGATTGAATTCAATCTTTATTTTCACGTTTCATACTACATGAAGGATAGCGGGAGTAAAAGCTGCACCGAAACAGCATGACTATAGCTCCCGCTACCAAAAAAATGAATGGGTCGGAATCATTGGCACACAAATACGGTAACAAAAGATCGGATCCTAACGGCGTTAGCTGCTGGTCTTACAATTTGTTGCTGTCACATTCACTTTATTCACCGTTGTAGTGAAAGATTGATTTTTCGTCCTAAAGCATTGGCGTGCGACCCTTCACCACCTTTATTTTTTCGTTCTTTAACGTGGTGTGATGTTCTGCCAGTCCTACAACTTCCGACGGAATACCGTGTTTATTCGCATGCTAGCTGTGCAGGCTGCGGAGGTCACAGAAATCGAAGCTGGGGGGGTCAGTGACCTCCGAAGTTGTCAGTAGAAAATATCGGGGGGTGGGGGGGGGGGCACATATTTCTTGGTGATAATTTAAAAATGGCGCCACCCAGCGACCCCCCAAAATTGTGGGGCGTGCGTGACGTATAGCCGCCACTTCGCACGCGCAGACTAGTCTCCTGAAAAAAAAAAAAATCACTTTCAGACCAATTCGCTAAAGCGTGCAGCACGTTTCTTTTCCTTTTTTCCTGCGTGGCTGCGCGTATACTGTGCCAGTGAGGCGTCGTGCACACCACGCCAAATTGAAATCACGCCGGGGTAAAAAAAAATCGGGTGTACACGTGGCTTCGATTCTATCCCTTACGTTGTACCAGCTGGAAGCGGCTGTCTTCGTTCGATGCTTGTATGTTCATAGGTAATCGAAGTTTCGTCGATTTCTGGGCGTGGCTGCAACTCGCGCTCTTTGTATTGTTAAATTTCGCCGCCTTACGCCCAGTTGGCTCACGTATATAGCAGCTACACCTCCTCTGATTCGACCATTTTAACGACTATAGGCGGCGCAGCGGTACGTCGAAATGGCGGACGAGACGGTGGTGTCGCGAGCGTGCACGTCAGCATCGCAGAGCGTGAAGACGCGTTCATTGGTTCGTGCAACGCCTCCTCTAGAAGATGCCCTGCCGCATGAGAAGAAAAACGGCTGCCACACCCTTTCCCTCCTTTATTTTAGAATGTTCTCGGTCGCTAGCGTCACCTGTGGCGGACGGTGCAACAACGCAACACTTTGTATAGCCTCCGAAACAGTAGTGCACAGTTGCAGGTCTCGAATGACTCTCGACCGCGCCCCTATGGCCGCGCCCCTATGGGCCGCAGATGAAGAACGCTTAGCTGGTACTATGGTAGCCACCATAGCTGGCTAGCGCCACCAAGCCGTAATACTTAATGAACCCAAAACTATATTTATTTATTTTCTTTCCTTAAAAAGTGAGTGAGTCGGTCGCGAGCGCCACCGCGCGGCGCTTGCTCAAAACTGAAGGCAGGCCAACTCCGCTGGGAGCGCGAGCCATTCCCCAGGCATTGTTTAGAGGAAGCGTTGGTTCGTGACTACTGAGAGACCGACCGAACTGCGGCGCCGGATTATCGCCGCGTGACAGCTTCAGAGCACTGCCGCATGGCGCCGCCTGCGTCGCTGGAATGACCGAATAGGTCACCACATAAGAGATGGTTTGAAAACCGGTCGCTCCAACTGCCTGCTGTCGTGCCTTCACCTTGTCAGTCCTGGCCGAATTTCGCGATCTTCTTTTTTTTTTTCCCCTTATAAGCATGACCCAACTAGCCCAAGCTTCAACCATAGCCATAACCATAGCAAGCTCCAACTGATTGGCTCGATATATGCCACCGCAGCGGAATTGGACCTTGTCTAGGCACTTCAGGGTAAAGTGCGGGAGGCAGATGTGTTGTTCCATCACCGTCTGTTCGTTGACAGTCGTTTTAAATCGAGCGTTTCCGAGCAGCAACAGCCCGAAACTTGGGTGAAAGCGTCTCTTGGTAGGCTTATTTTACCGCGCGTGACCCGTCTTTAGGTCTCGTGTTGCGACGCATTTCCCCCATCATGCCACCCCTGCTCGTAGTGGTCACGGCGCGTAATTGCTTAGCGACATCTTATCTCTAGATCTCGGGGGGGGGGGGGGGGGGGGCTTTCCTTGTGGCCGTCGGTGCGGTTGATGACGCGCGCTGTGCTGGCGCGTTTCATTCGCCGCGTTCTGGACCTGCAGCGCGTTTTTGCTATCCGCCAAAATAGGTGCATTGCAGGACACGGCCAACGATACCTTTAAGGAGGTTTTAAATGAATCGAAGTGGCGATTACGTCTCAACTGTGAAACCGTACGCGCCCTAAGATGGCGGCCGCCATATTAGTAAAAGCGGTCTAACCCCTCCCCCCCTCCCTTGGTAGGAAAACCTGCGCACGTTTCAAGCGCACTCAATTGTCATCGGTCAGTGCCACAAAATTGTAGGAAGATTTCACTTGATCGGCAAATTACCCTTCCCAGGGCCGTGTCAAGAATTTTTTTTTCGGTTGGGGGATTGTGTGCGGAATGGCTAAATTTGGCAGCTGGTGGTCGCCGTGAAGGCGTGTAAATTTGATTCGAAAGGTTCAATCATGCGAAAAAAAATGGGGTGGGACGGGGGTGGAGGTCAACTCTACTCTAGTTAGGGCCTTGACCCTACCACAATACCAAAACACCTCTAGCACCAGTAATGCACCCTTTGCAAGTATGAGAATGTACATCAAGAGACGTGTACCGGTGCTACGTGGAAGTTCCCTTACGAAATTGCCATGAAGTCGTGGGTTTTGATGTTGTCTCCTATAGCGTACATAATTCCTTATCGGTAGAAACTAAATTGTGCTCTGAGAGAGCCAATGACATAACAGGGCAAGTTTTGGGAAATTTTTTCAGCAACTGTGGTGAAATTGGTTGAAAATCAGTGACATCCTATTGTGACACACTAGAACGTCAAAACTGAGCACATAGGTCCCGAAGCCTCGGTATGGGCTAGATGGGGGCTGTTAATTGCAATGATTATGAACTCAAATTAGGTCTGTGATTTCTAAACAAAAGATGGTTATGCCATAAATTGTTGCATTTTACAACTTTTCTGTACAAATAGCTTTCCTTGAGTAAAGAAGATTTTAATGAATAAGTGAGCTCAGGTTAATTAACAAGTTAATGTGAATTAATCATTTATGCATAACATTACGTATAGGAAAGTATTTCTTTTTAACGTACAGTTGGCGTGCGAAAATGATTGGTACCTAGATCTCGTAGAGGTTTTATTTAAAATCTGTATTGTTTAAAGAACCCTGCACAGTGCTATACCTTACTACCAAACTGCATTTTATGCAGACATGGAAATGTTCACTTTTTTATTTTCCATTTTGTTTGTGTGATGGGCTATAGACCAAAGTAGCTTATCTTGTATACATGAGTGGCAAATTATTGACTATTTGTAGTCATTCTTCTGTGATGCTTATCTCCTGTGATTAGGTGCAATATTAGTTTTGTTCTGCACAAGCAGCAACTTGTTTTTTAGCTTGTTCCTAATCTTTTGTTTTGCCTTGTCCTAAAATATTTTTACTGCTAACCAAAAGTTTTTAGTTATGACATTAATAGTGTGGACGCTATTTCTTATTTTTAATCTCCCTCGGTTAAATGAACATGCAGGTATTGAAGCCATGGAGAGAAAAAGAATACTACCGTGCCTCATTACACCTCAGTTTACTGCAACAGCTTTTCAATGGCCAGTTGCAGTTTTGTTTCCCTGAGTTTTACTGTGCTACAACTCTATGACGTGGAAGTGTCTGAAGAGGGCAGGATGTCGCGGTGTTTAGGCAGTTTCTCCTGCTTGCCAGGTCACACCTCATGCTGCTGCTCATTGATACAACTGCCGTAACAGTGTATAATAGAACCAAGCTAGCTGAAGTAAGTGTTGGAACCATGGGGCTGGCACCAAGAGCGGGGTGGGCTAGGCATATGCTTCCAGGCGCATTAATCGGCCGCAGCACTTCCCCTAGAGTGCCTTACTACAGTCTGTATAAGTGTAAACGCAATCTATGAACAGTAAATGTAACTAGAGCCAACTCATCGACTGGGCCTCGTCGTCTTCGAGGTATCCTTGAAGAAGACATGGCCAGTTTTTCATGCGTTTGCTCCAGTGAGACTTCATGTTCAGGGATTCATCTCTTCAAACTTGCATCTTCAGCCGAACTGGCGCCATATCTGAGCAGTTCCATCAGGGGTGCCCCTGCCGTTCTACCCCATCCTTCTTGAGGACGTCTCTTATTTGCTTCCCACACTTTTGAGGAGGTACTCGGCCACACCTTGGGCGAGAGCAGTTCACTATGCGGCCACCATGTGACCACCTTCTGCGCCAGGGCGTCGCGACGTGATGTGTGCTGTGAGAAACGAGTGAGCTGGCCGTAGGAAAGCTGCTGCTGTAAATTATTAAAGGCACTCGGGAATGTAGCAGCTCTTTTTCCCGCAGTTCCTAAGGTGTATGACATGTGTATTGCAGAAATGAATGGTTTGAAAACGGCATGGTTGACACCTTCCAGTGCAGATTTTATGCTTGTCACAAAGTGTCTTCCATTGGGTCTCTCATGCAAGCCTTTCAATGATTTCAGGACATCTCATGAGTGATTCGGCATGGGCTGCTCAAATACAAAAGCTGTGGAGTTGACCAACGAAGACCTCGAGTTCCTCAAGAAGCACACAGACTATGATGATGCCACGATACGGGACTGGTACGCGGGATTCAAGGTACACTTTTTTTTTTTTAGTGTGTGGCACATTGAACATTATATTGCACAAGCTAGTTAAGGGCTTCTTCAAATTGATGTGACTATTTCTATGATAGTGAGGCTTACTAAACCAGAAAATAACAGTGCAATGACATGGAAAAGCACTACACAAAATTCTTTTTACTGTTTTTGTTTTGGATTTATAGGAAAGAACTAGCCTGTATAACTTGATGGGATATAAGAAATAGATATTTCAGTGGTCCATTTTGAGTTGACACCTTAGTTAGTGAGTGACTATGAAGTCGCGTAATGATGTTCGTGGTAAATTTACTTCTTTATTAGCAGGAAGACATCTTAAAAATAGTTTATGTCTGGTATTTATATTGCATCATAATTTTTCACACCTGGTAATTTGTAATATTCATATGGTTATATGCAGGGGTGGGTTATGCGTGAGTAAATACGATAAACACTTTTAAGAATACAGCATTGGCCTTGTTCGTGCTTTTACCAAGTCTCTGAAACTTTTTTTAAAGTTTAGTGCAATAGTGTCCTGGAATATGGGTGAAAATCTTATGAAAAATATCTATAAAGTGAATTTGAATGGTTTTCTTTGAACACTTGCCTATAATTATCAAGCTTCCTTATAGCCAAGACATACACCTTCCTTATAGCCAAGACATGTGCTTCCAAATTTGATTTTTCTTCTCACCTGCACTGGTATGATCGTTGCACTAATGGCTTATTATTGTTCAATTCTTTTCTGCGAGCAGCAAGATTGTCCGACGGGCAAGCTATCTCGCGCCAAGTTCCTGGAGATTTACCGCATGTTCTTCACGACGGGCAACCCCGAGAAGTTCTGCGACCACGTGTTCCGCACGTTCGACGCGGATAACAACGGCCACATTGACTTCAAGGAGTTCCTGCTGGCCATTGGCGTGACGGGTAGCCAGAGTTCAGAGGAGAGGCTCAAATGGGCCTTCCGCATGTACGACATCAACGGCGACGGCAAGATCGACCAAACTGAGATGGTCAAGATAGTCCAGGTTAGATAGCTTCCTGGCCGATTTATTGCCTGCTTGCTTTTACCAATTTTATACATTTTACACCCAGGACTTCCTGGCATTAGAAAAGAAAGTGGGTTGCAGGAGTAATCGTTGCAGCGGGAGCAATGAATTCAAGGATAAGATAATCTGCAATTAGTACAATATTTGCTAATCATAAAATAGTAGCTGAGTGTGTCAAATGCACTATATGAGAAAATAATGTGGAATGCATTATTCTCATATTATACATTATTACCTTGGTGTGTAACATACAAACTGGAACAATACCTTACAGGCACATTTTAAAAATGGTATGATGAGTTTGATGTATGCAGCATTAATAATCAGCCATATTAGGCTTATGTAAATTAACAGGTAACATTAGTTAATAAAATTGCTTCTTATTGTACAGTGCTAAGTAATTCCTTTATGAAACCTGTTATTAAAAACGGGCTCAATACCAGTGAAAAGGTCATTCCGTTAAAGGGACCTTCGTGGTACGATTCCGGAAAGCATCTTCTGTTGCATTCGTGAATTTTAACCTTGTGCAGATTGACCGAAGGGGGGGGGGGGGGGGTATAAGTAATATGACGATTGTAGTTCACTTCTAGCGCAGTTATTTTCAAACTGTTCATCCAGTGGACATGTCCATTTCGGCCAATTGAATTCAATTGCTTGACAAAGAAACAAACCGTGAAGTTATCGTGCACCTGACCAGGTTGACGCTATGCAGCTGCATAGCACACTCCCAGCTTTAGAAAAAAGAAAGCACAGTCGCAGTATAAAATTCGTAGTCACAGAGAACCAACTTAACTAGTCAATGCTTGCATATGAGCCTGTCCCAGATTCCTGTGAAAGTTGTAGCAAAGGAGTAGCTACCTCCACAGGCGCCTTTACATGATATGCTGCTTTAAGCCTTATTTTAGGAGTAACGTGGTCATGGAATCCATGTTAGTGCGCGAGATTCGAGTGCACAAAAGCTATGCTCGGGAGCTGTGGACTAAGTTTAGTGCATTTCGTTTCTCTCATTTGTTTGGAGTCCTTAAAGGGGCACTGAAACACTTTTTCAAGTAACCTGTGGAATGAATTCACTGTAAGAACTTATTACCTCACGAATTCAACGCCAGAAAAATTTTAAGAATCCATCCACTGCGAGTGGGGTTACAAAAATATGTCGCTTGCTGCAATTGCATTCTCTTTTCTCTTGTCCCGACGAAAGCGCTGGAAGCAAAGCAGAGGGGGATGGCAGGGCCACAGAAAAACGCCGTGTGTGCTTTGGGACCTTGAGCACTTTTTACTTTTTTTTTTTTCATCAAATGCGCGACTTTTTCAGTGTGATCACGCATTTCCGTGGCGATCTCTGCAACGAACGAGCGCGCCATGTTCAAATTGGCTAATGGCTGATAGATCGGTCATTGCCGTGTGTTTTTTGGGCATATTCAGTGATTTGTCCAGAGAAGATAAAGCAATTTTTAGCTTACTTTGATAATTTATTATAAATTTCAGGCCATGTGCTGCGCTATAATATTTGGCTCGCATGTTGTCGGGGGCCTCTACTACGGATCGGCAGTGTTTTCTGACCATGCTCAAAAAGTGTTGCAGGGCCCCTTTAAACATTTGAAACATTGAAATGACGGGGAAGAAGTGGAAACAAGCGGCGCATTGTTTGTGAAGCTCTGACGAATCACCGGCCTCTGAAACGGACAGTTCACTAAATGGACGGTTCGAAAGTAACTCAACCAGAGAACAGTGTTTGGCAAAAAAAGGCTCGCTAAAAAGAATAAGTTAGCATATGCAAAAAAAAAAAACTTTCCCGCTGGGGCAATGCAATGGATTGATCGCAGCAGATTGGAATGTTATACAAAGTAACGCTGGCAGCTAATTCATTGAGGATCAGGTGTAAAGTAGCTCTGCGAATCTGCTGGCACAGGGGAATATAAAGTTTCATTGACTGAAGCGGGTTTCTTTGTCGTAGCTTCCAACGCAAAGTAAGCGTAGAGTGGTCCGCTGTGGGGACGTAGTGGTTACAGTGCTTGGCTGCTGACGCGAAGTTTGCGACTTCGATCCCATCAGATGCAGTTGCCTTTTGGTGGAGACAAAATGGTAGAGGCAACAATGTACTGTGCGATATCATTGCACTACCACCCCAATAGGCCTTTTTCGCAAAGACAGCTGGTGTATTTCCTTTTGGCTTGAGTCGCGATCACTGGGTGCCCTCGCCCGTTTTCACTGCACACAGAGCGCAACACGTGCAGGGTGAAGTCATTGGGGTTACACGGAACCTCAAGGTGATGGCAAGAAAGTGCCTGCGGCGCCCATATAATTGGTATTGCAATTATGGCCATTTCACAATACACATAGTGCCATTCTTGTTGAAACAGTATGCGTTGCTAGCCAGAGAAATAGCAAGTAAAGGTGCTAATGCAGAAATATCAGTTGCCAAGTGACCCAATCAATATTCACTCACCGTAAGCTCCTCGACTGTTCCAGGCTGAAGGCAGATGTCGCTGCCCATCACCCTCAGTGGTGATCAAAAACATGCTCTTGCCACACCAAATAGCTGTAGTAGTCCCTTGAATGCACTTAAATCGCTCCGAGTTCAGACGGCAGAGAGTGGTTGTTCAGGGGACCTTTAAAGCAGTCCTGTTTTTTTTGCAGGCCCTGTATGAAATGCTGGGGCCCGGTGCCGCCACCTCCGACTGAGGACACTCCGGAAGAGCGCACGGGAGCTGTCTTTTCCAGGATGGACACCTGACGGTGACGGCAAGCTGACCATGAAGGAGTTCCTCGACGGCTGTCTGCAGGATCGGAAGCTCGCTGGCCTCCTCACCGCAAACACAACCTTGCAGCTGAGATAGCCCTAACTTCTCTCACGGCCTGCCTGTCCTTTCTTTTCACCACTTTCCTTTCTTTCACTCCGGCACCATCTCAGAGATCTTTCGCTAGAACAGCTTTCTGTTCTGCCTCTTATAACTTAACGAGCCTTTCTTTTTTGTCAGTTGTGCAGTTTTTTTATCTGTATACAAGCTTCGGGCTACTTTCGTCATGTTTGAATAAAATGTGCCTACATTTCTTGGTTGTCCTTGCTGTGTGTTTTATTTCCTCCTAGGTACAACTTCTATAGTAATAACTGCTATAACTGTAATAATTGCTGTAATGTTCGTTGTGAAATCTTAGTGAACACCAGCAGATAATGAAGCCAAGAAAGCTATAGGGGACAACAATGAAACTGTTTTAAATGCGTTTCAATTTATAATATACATGTTAAGGTAAAGTGGATGAAAGTACAACTTCCCGTCAGCAGAGACCGAACCTGCAACCTTCGGTTGTCAAAAGTCAACTTTTTCTTTTGACAACTACAATGCAACCTTCGGTTGTCATTGTAGTTGTCAAAAGAAAAAAAGCCCTTGAATATTTCCTTCCTTTCATCATTTGTCAGAAAACAGTAATGTATTGCTGAAAAATTCAGGGCGATTGGCGATTAAAAAATACATCTGCATCGTGCCTATTTTTCTGAATGCCTTATAGAGCCTTTGGAATAGCCTGTGCCTATTTTTCAGAATCATTCTGGAGCTTTTGAGCTATCTTTGTGTTTTAAGGTGGTGCGAACAAAGTGACTCAAGGCAGTGCTTACTTCACATAAAGCAATAGACTTTGTGATAAGCGATTTTGTACGGTAGTGCAAGCGCAGGTGAGTTGACCATTTGGAGAGATTCTTTGCACAAATGTGGTTTCTGCCAGAGAGATAGTATTGATCTATGCAGGCAGATATTAATATACTTGTTAAACATTGGCAGGTGCGTAAAAATGAATGACCAAGCATTTTTACATATAGTTTGAACTTAACCTGAAAAGCTTTATTAGAATTTTTCACCTTTTTTTTTGCATAGCACTAACTTCATGGACTTTGCAATATTTCTGCACTCTAGCAGGCTCTGTTGCTTTTAGCAAGCCCGAGAAACCTGTGGTTTGTATTTGCCGTGATGTAATTGGCACATTTTCAACCATTCTCAAATTGGGCTTAGTTGGTTAGGCCAGTCAGTGCAGTTTTATAAGTTTCCCTGTCTTGCCAAACTGAGAAGTGAACAGTTTTTTCTTGTGGCAATGGAATTGCTTGAATTAAGTTTCTCTGTGAAATTAGCCTACTTTCATGAAAGTTGCTTGCAAACGGGCACACTGCATCGAGGTAAGTTGGGTAACTGGCGACACTTAAGAATGACTTTTTCTTTGGAGTTCCGCTTTTTCCTTTCTTCCAAAGAAACAGTTCGGCATTTGGTGATGTGTCCCTAGTGCATACCGAGTTCTTGCATAGCGAATGATGCGAAGGACATCGGGGTCTTGTTACTCCTAAACAGGCCATTTAAAGCGCTTTTTTTCTAGTTAGCCCCCTTCTATTAGCCTGAAAGAGCACTTCCGATTTTGACAGTGGTATACTATCGGCGACAAACGAAATCCGAACAGAGACAAGCCTTCGCGATGGTATAATGCGTACCATTGACAGACGCGCATATATGTGTAGAGCTGCCAAACAGGATGCGCGGGCTTGTCAACAATGAACTATTAGGGCGGTGCGCACTACATTATCGCGAAGGCTTGCAGCTGTTTGGCTTTCACTTGGCGCTGGTAGCACTGTACTGTGGTGCAGTGGAGCCTGGTACATTTTATTTCCTGTGAGTGATTTAAAACACGTGGCTGCTATTGTAAACTGTAACTGATAAACATAAAAAAAGGGTGCATTCTCGCGCCATTGGACTGTATGAAGGTGAATGCCATTTGCCTCCCTTTTATTTTGGTCAAGCAATGCAGAACCTCTATTTCACTTCTGGAGTCTGATGCCAACAGTACGCAGTCAGCCTGGCTGTTGTAAGTTGTAGAGCTTTAAGAAAGAAATGAGTTTGCTATACATGAGAAATTGAGAAGTAACAGATTTAATGCCCTGTTCTTCGCAATTTGCTGGGCATGCTACGGCAGACCTTAGCCGTTGAGATGTTGAACTAGCGGAGCACTAGTAACACTTGAAGTGCTTGATGTGGTGACTGTCTCTGTCATGATTGTACTTGATACCTTACGTATTAGTTGTCTGCTAAAGGTTTGTGCAGTACTTTGTGCAAGGAAAGCCCAAATTATTGTTCACAATTTTATACTAAGACTGGTCACCCGTGACCAGTATGTGCATGTATTGTTCTTAGTAGCTAGTTATCAACATCAGTTCTAGAAGTATCAACAGTAGATAATCTTTAATATATGTGTAACGGCTGAACAAATCAATGGAAGAATAAGAAATAAAAGTTGTATGTTTATCCATTTGGAAAATGCGATGCTCTGCAGAACTCTCCTCTGAGATTAAGGCGAAAATGAGACTTGGGGTCTAATCACGGTGTGAGATACAATTTAGGTGGGACACTTCTCGGCTTCTTTATAAGACGCGATCAATCGGATAAAGTAACAGCAACACGCGTTCGTCGGACCACTGCCGGCAGCGCAGACCTTAATGGCATGCCAACACAGCTTCAAAGTAAAATTTTAAGACCAATGCCCATGTGTAACTAAAGTCGAACTTCCTGCGAAGGGTCGGTTGTTATGGCAGCGCTTTTTGCTGTCTTCAAGTTGAGTCTACTCGCAGATAGGTATGCGCAGCCGGCAACAGTCCGACAGACACTAGTCGCTGTTCTTTTATCTGGTCGATCGCTTCTTGCGAGTTTCCCCATCTAAATTATATCTTATGCCATGGGTCTAGTTATCTTCAACTCTTAATGCTGCACTGGCAAATACATTGGGCATTCTAGAGGCAGAGCTGAAGGAATGCCTCTTTTTACCTTTCTTATGTCCTTGTTCTATTATACACTTCTTAAGGTGCAATTTGCCTTGCGACTTGTGCTGAAAAAGAGAGTCATGTGTGGTGTGTATTAGTAAAACTAGTTTTCAGATAGGCAGTATGTTGCTCTTGGTCAACTATGTGACCTGTGCAACTTGTTTGCCTCTTTCATCATTTTTTAGGAGCTTGTAATATTTTTCACATGGCTGGAGCTTGGCGTGAAATGGAAATTGGACTCTTTTCCGACAACCCTATAGTGAGCTCTTGTTATAGAGTCCAGATATTTAAAACTTGCTGAAAAGCCCCTAAAGTGTCAGAAATCGTTCACTAGTGTGATGCTGCATGCTTTTCATAAGTCTTAGGGAGGGATAAACTGTTGTGAAGTTGAGTGTCCAACATGCAGAATTGTAACTGTGCTCAGAGGAGGCATCTGTATGACTACGTAGCTCATCCTTCTCTTCGGTCATTTCCCAAACGCAGTGGCAGTGTCCAGACTCTGACCACCCGGTAACAACCCCGCCCCCCCTTTACCGTCTGCGCAAGAAGGAACTGCGCGTCCTGCTAGGCCCAGCCGACCGCATCGACAAGCGCCACACCGCCGGCGGCGGGATTGACCAGAGCCATGGGCAAGCAGAACAGCAAGCTGAAGCCCGAGGTCCTGGAAGACCTCCGGCAGAACACCGAGTTCTCGGACGCCGAGATCCAGGAGTGGTACAAGGGCTTCCTCAAGGACTGCCCTAGTGGCCACCTCTCTATTGAGGAGTTCAAAAAGATCTACGGCAACTTCTTCCCCTATGGGGACGCGTCCAAGTTCGCCGAGCACGTGTTCCGCACTTTTGACGCCAACGGGGACGGCACCATCGACTTTCGCGAGTTCCTGTGCGCGCTGAGCGTGACGTCGCGTGGCCGCCTTGAGCAGAAGCTCAAGTGGGCCTTCAGCATGTACGACCTGGACGGCAACGGCTACATCTCGCGCCAGGAGATGCTTGAGATAGTCACGGTCAGTGGAACGGTTACACGTCCTATTACTTCGAGTGGCGTAGCATCCATGCTCTGTGACGTAGTAACGTCACGCTTGTACATCAAGCACAGTGCTTTGGAAGCTATGCAGGAAGTGTGGTCACAAAGATGTACGAGCTTGCGTGTTTCATGTGTAGATCGTTCTAAACGCTAATGTGCACTACCGGAACTAATCGTTGTAGCGACAATATGCAGACAAAAACACTAAGCAATCAGGAACAACCTGTTCGCAATCGTGTAAAAAAATGGTGTCTGTGTATTTCTAAGACACAAAAAATCTTTTTTAATGATTAGTCTTAAAATTAAAAAAACATTGTCTCAAAACGAAAAAAAAAAAGGTCTCATACACAGAGTAACTTCGGATATTTGAGCAAGTCCATCTTCTATGTCCTGAGATCTTCGCGTTTTCGACCGGTGTAAAGGTTTTCTAGTGATTTTCAGCTGAAGGTCTCTTCTCGTTGTTTATGGCACTCGCAGTCACAGGCCTTGGGACGGCAAAGAGGACACAATACAGCTGTTTTCAACCTACAAAATTAATTTCCCTTCACATGAGCATTCGTTATAATTGTCGCACATCATCAATTGCACTGCACGAGACAACCAATACGAGGTGCAATGCTCAGTCACGCGTAAAATCGCCCTACCCGAATCTGCAACAAAATGTACTGAGTCATCGTTATGTGATGCTGATGACACAGTATCCGACACTTCTGATGGGGGCTGTTGCTACTGTGGTTGCGGTTTCCTTTTTACATGCAGGCGACTTTGCTTACTTGTTTCATAAAGCTCTGTAATAAATTCAACTTTTTAATGTTGAGAATAAAGATTTGTTCACATTTTGCCCACTTAAATGCCCAGCTGTCATTCTAAAAATGACGTGATCACTCCCCCTCCCCCCCCCCCCTTTTTTTTTGAGGAATACAGGATCTTTCCGTGAGCTTACTCAGGCAGTCTGTAACCACTTTCTAGGCATAAAATCAAGCATCACTTGTCTTATTATTCGTTTTTGCATTATACAACTGTTTGGAGGGATCCCCCTAAGTCGTTCGATCAGTGTACCACTGTTTGTAGATTTAGGTGGGTGTTAGAGGAACCCAGCATGGTGAAGCAAATATAATTTCTCCTGTTAAAGCATACCTTGTGATGTTATCATGTCATTTTGATCCTCAAATGCTTTCTAGTTTACCAATTAGCGCAGCAGCATACATTAACAAATCTGTGCAGCTTTCCTCCTTGATGATTGGAGGCATACGCTCAGTATCTGTGATAGTGCAATGGGTTGGTGTATCGGTGCAGTAGGCTTATAGAAAAAGCATGTCAGAAGTCTGGGAAAAGGTTTCGAAAAGGGATGCTAAGTGTCATATGAATGAAAGTACCGAGTGTTTTCAGCAACACCATCATTTTGTTCTTGTTCAAATTTATTTTAGGCATTGTGTTTTGCAGCTCGTTGAAATTATTGAAACTATGTGCGAATGCATTGATTGTATCTTTTCATGCACAATCGGTGCGTCGGAACAGAATGAACACACACACACAACATTCTTGACTTGAAACAAAGGTAACCAAAACGTTATCCCTTATTTCAGTTCGAACGGGAGAGTGAAACATTTTTTTATTGTTTTTCAGTTCACTGAAAGCTGGCGATCTGGTCTTGCAATGTGAGCATTAATGCATATCTGGCGGTGCATGTATTAGCACATCTGAAGCGGAAATTTCAAATTGCAGATCCACTGAAATGCAGCGAAAAACAAGAAGGGTGGAAAACAGATCTTTTTTTGTTAAAGGAGCATTTGTTAAAGGCACAGCTGTGTTTACTTCGCTACCGGAACTGCACCTGCCCAGCTTGGTGCTCTTTCAAACCGAAACTGCGACTGGGCGCTCACAAAAATGTCTTTAAATAAATAACCATTGCACACTTGTGCAAATAAAGTTTTCAGCCATCATAAGTGGGTCATAAGCTGCTGATTGCAATAACAAAAAAAAATAAGGTGCAAAATTTTTGTGTCAGAGCTGCTGTAATGCAAGGGAGCTTTCAGCTGGGTGTCACACAGGCCAGCGTAAAGAGGGCGTTACCGGCACTGAAGTTTGTTTTATCAGAACAGCAGTCTCGCATATGTTGTCTTGACTACACTCAATGATGGGTGCTTCTGAAATCACACCAACTGCCTTGACACAAACCATTGAGTCTGTTAAAAAAATTTGTGATTTACATTTGAGTGAAAATTAAATTCTATAAGCTAGAAGGGCACTGTTTTGTATTGGTTGATAGGGTTTCGTGGCACAGTTATTTGTGCTCCACTTAAAAACGTAGGAAGAACATGTTTTACCTCTGTCCAACATTCCTAAGAGCTATGCTGCAAGTTACTTTATGTATTACGTTCTTCACATTACCTTAATGTAAAGTTTTTTCATACTAATTAAAGCCATTTTAGCTGCTTAGGGAACATTTTCTGTTTTGTTCTCCAACAGATATGAAACGTAAATTTTTGTGGTGGAACAAAACTAATACTGAAACGAAAAAACCACTTTGTTTGGACAGCCGTGCACAGTACACCTGTTGCACACATGTCGTTTGGAGAGGTGCCACTCGAGAAATGTAGACAGTATTGTAGCAAACACTGTTTGCTGTAGCCTTGAAGCCTGATGTGACTGCTCTGTGGAAGTGGAACAACATGTGTCATGCTGTGTCTCCACTAATTACACTTCTCAGAAGATGCTTCCAATTTTAACGGAAAAGCATGTGAATGGGCTTTTGGCGGCCGCCTGCCCTATACAGATGTAGCTACCCGCACCATGCATTTTGGAGAGCAGTGATGGTCTTTTGGTAGGCATACTTAGGGCTTAAAGTGTAGCTCTCTTATTCAAAGGTCTACATTTTTTTTTTCATCGTCGTAAATCTGTTGTCACTCAGCAGCGAGTATTGGGCAATCGAGCGGTTTAAGGGCAATTTTAGTGACGTTTCAGTTTGGATTATAAGTCAGTAGTATTTAATAGTAATTTAGCAGTATTGCATTTTAATTTACCTTGAGCACTTGCTCGTAGCTGTGTCACTGTTGCTGTAAATATGGCTGCTAAATGTAAAGCTGGTGCTGATATAGGGGCTTGAATAAAAATTATGCTGATATCGCGCACTGATCTGTCAGTGTAGCCTAGCCTTTTGCTCACTCTCCCTGTCATATCCATGCATCACCACCTCCGTGCAGGCCATTTACAAGATGGTGGGGTCTGTGATGAAGATGCCAGAGGATGAGTCCACGCCCGAGAAGCGCACCGACAAGATCTTCCGGCAGATGGACAAGAACATGGACGGCAAACTCTCGCTGGAGGAGTTTATTGAGGGCGCCAAAAGTGATCCCCTCGATTGTGCGGCTACTCCAGTGCGACCCCCAGTCCTCCCACTGATCACAGCGGCCACTGCCTCCCGTTGCCGCTGCCACTCCTCCACCTCCTTCGCGCTGCCCGGCCCACTCACCGGTGCATCAAGCCGCCAACGCCGCTGTTTATCTATGCTCCCGCCAGGCCAGCCAATCACGAGCGAGCACGAAAGCTGTCTCTTTCTATTCGGCGTTTTACCGGGGAACTCGCATCCTGCACGCTTTTCTCTGCCCCCTGTCTCCTCTTTCTCGCTTGTCGTCTATGTCTGCCACACTTTCTCGAGCTTTGTGGCAAAAGGTCGTTGCCAGATGGAACTGCGTCTTTGACAAATTTTGACTGTATGTCTGCAGAACTGGATGGCCCGTTTCATTTCATTTGTTTCATCCTTGATTGCCGGAAGGCTTGAAGTACATTTGCCAGAAGGTTTAACTCAATCACTGTAGAAACAGTGGCTTCAATTTAGCAAGCTTGGTCTGCATGGAGCAAAATATTGAATGCTGTGAAAGGAAGATGCACCAAAACTGGCATTGAAAAGGCACCCCCGCCAGAAAGCTCGAACAGCCTCTGCAGGAGTGTTTATGTGGGTATACACATATTTGTTGTTAGCTTGGCATTCATGTTTCATCCAATGACATTGAGGCCATGTGCATAATCTGATAATCTATATTGAATTAATTCTTCGACTACAATCATTTCAAGCTCAGCTGTTTATTTGGAGTTACACAAGTGAACGAGCCAATGTGTGGTCATCCCTAACTGTGGCTTGTTGAGAACCGCTATAATGTTTCACTAATGCAATACATTTTCTACGGTTGCAAGGTTTTGGATGTATCTGCTGTCTTCGAACATTTAGAAAATGATGATTTGAAAGATGAAAGTAGGAAGGACCATAGAAGAGTGACAAAGAATTCATTGGGATTTTTTGTAACCACCTTCATTTATGTGCAGATGATGCAAATGCAGTGCAACTGGGTAAAGAGTAAACAACTTAATGTTGTGAAATTGCAGGGGATTGCAATTACAGGCAGCCTGACCGACTTCATAGAAGCCACTATAATGTAGCACTAGCCCTATGGGAAGCCGCGTCTGTGCACATTGCATGATTGTTTTCAGTGCTCCGCGTGGTGTTTCAACATTATTCTAGTACTGATTTTGATGATCAGCAGCAGTGAATGTGCTGCATTGACATAGTCCTAGCCACTGTGTTCATCAGTGGACTGCGAAAACACTTGTGTGATGTTGCATGAAAGTTATTCGAAACTGCCGTATTTTCTCGCATAATAGGTGCACCCCGAACTTGGCCGTGATCAGTAGTTCTGTACCGTATATGTTCGAGCTTGTTCACCACACAGTAGTTTGCTTTGCAATGTGGAATCATTGCAAGAATGGTCACGCCAGTGGATGTGCTCTTCTCGCTTGCACCAGTGTACCACAGGTGTGCCACCAGTGGTACATCAGATTAGCATGTGGCTACCACACCAATAGCATTGCTATTGCACCAGCGTGTACCAGTTGTTGTGGAGGGCAGTTTGATTCATTCTGATGCGTTGATTCGGTCGCAAGGACGGTCTGTATATAAAGTTGTATTGCTTTGTGAGACGGTTTTACGGCTAGCCTCCCTAGCAATGACTTCAATGTTATCTTCAAATCACATTAGAGAATGTGCACTGTTAAGTGAAAAATCAAAGTGCTTCAACCTATGAAGTCTGTTCTGCTGATGTGTGTGGCTTGAGTTTTTTTTTTAATTTTATTAATGCATAGCTGGTTAAGAATAAATGAGGCTTACACAAGTTGTTGCTTTGATGTGGGGATAAGGCTTTCAAATTCTTGCTTAAAGTTATTGGTTCCTCAAAGAATGGCCCTTTCATAAGCAGTATGCAGGACGAGTCGTGACTTGACAATTTTATGGCCATTGGCTTTTTGTGTTGTGCTCCTGTACTTTCTATTCTGAGCACCATAACAGGATGTCTTTGCGCTGCACTGTCCAGGGTTCTTGACAGCAGAATCACTGAATGCGCCCACATGCTGGCACTGTTGAGGTTGCTAAATCGCACAAAACCCGCGGGCTGAGAAATATAAAATAAGCTCTAGTGAGAGGCATGTCTCGAAGCTTGTACAACTTGAAAAGACAAAAAGAAAAAGCTGATACTTTTTTAAAGCTTTCACACATTCAGTGGCTACGTGAGCCTTTGCAAGCGTTTGCACTACCAATTTTAGTCCTCGCTTCATGCATTTTTGTTTTGATTGCATGCTTCAGTGGCCAGTAATGCTTTTTTAACACCGTTCGATCCAGCTTTGCGAGTTTCAGGAGAATGCTCATTGTGCAGACTGGTAGACTGCAGTGGTGTCCTTAGTCATTAGTGCTTGCCAACTCATTTGAGGTTGGGCAAGAGCTGTGGCCGTACGGCTGTACTCAGAATTTTTCGCCTGCGAATGCAGAAGTACTGTCACTAGCTGCAGTACCGCTGCGATCGAACTACTCAACCACCGAAAACTTTCGGTCTCTTTCGTACACGATTTTCTGGGCATCTGCGTGACTGCAATGCCGTGAAGACATTACTAGTGCGTAACGTTTCGCTTCTACTTGTTACGTTGAAGTGACCACTGTTGAAGCTGGGGGTGTCGTTCCTGGACATCTTCCGTTTGATGCAGAAGTGACGGTTTTTGAGGCTTGTATTTTAATTTACGGATGTTTTATTTTTTAACATTGCACTACTCGTTACGCCGAAGTGACCGCTATTGAAGCTGGGAGTGTTGTTCATGGACATCTTCCGTTTGATGCAGAAGTGACGGTTTTCGAGGCTTGTATTGTCGTTTATGGACATTTTATTTCTTAACATTGCATTTGTCTGTCGGGTCGTGAACTTCTTGAATGTTGTTTTCGGTGCTCCAAAAAGACGTCTGCCATGAATGTTTAAAAAATGCACAACTATTGAAGGTTTGTGCATTTGCCATTTCTTTATTGCTTCAATTTGTTTTGCTCAAATAATTAGTTAACTCTGCTGGCATTTTACTTGGGCTTTCAACAGATTGGGTACTGAGAATATCTTAAGCATCATCTGGCAGCAAAGCATGCAAGGCCACACAATCATCGTCGCTCATTCCCTGCCCAGGTCGATGCCCAATACCGCTATTTGGAAGTCACATTTCAGTGAATATTGCATCCGTATTCTTTGACTTTTTCTCATTTTTATTTGATTGTTCCTGTGCATTTGAAACCTCCTTTTATTCTATTGTATATCTCATTCATCTTTTGATATAGCACTGACAAATGATAATGTTTCTGATGAATTTATATTTTTGATGCAGTAGCATCAATAACTTGAATTGATATGTTTTGAATCAGTAGCACAAACACTTATATGAACTTATGCAAAGCACATGCAAAAAAAAAAACTAAGATTCATTACGTAAACAGGTACATTATTAAAATTAGGATAAACTTTTACTATAATAAACATAAAACAAATGTGAATGCTTAGTTTTAAATTTCGTCTCGCCTGTCGTGCAAAGAACTGAATATGAATAGACTTGAGAATGGCACGCACTTCTGTATGTCAAGTTTTCTTTCTTGCGTATTTTAGTAGAGTTTGCTCAGTTTTATTGAGGTGTGTTAATGAGAGACTTCTAAGGGTGTTTGGTTATGGTGAAAACGGTCGCTGTCAACTGTCCCATGCAGTTCAATATTGTGCCAGTGTCTACTTAGTAAGGCCCTTCTTTCACTGCAGCAACTTTTTTTAGCTTATGACGGGCGTATAGAAAAATCCTTGCCCTTCCAATTCCTCACCTGCTTTCATCTTTCCCGGTGATTTTTTGTACGCCTTAGGCGGGATGCCCGGTGGCTGTAGCTGCAAATGGTGCTTTCGCAAAGTCTATAGAAAATTCGTGGCTTGGAGAAAGTCACAGAAAGGCCGTCATGGAGTGGCATCAATCTCAAGGTCGTTCGCGCCGATGGCGCCTTTCCCGTTGGCTCGGTGTAGCAACACAGGCTCTGCAGTGCTCGCTATGAGGCTTTGTACAGCGTCGGCGACGGGGTCTGGAGACTAGAGAATGAAGCACGTTGCCCAGTTATGCAAACGTCACTCTGGTCTGGATGAACTAAGGTCTAGGGCTTAGGTCTAACATTGAAAGGAAAGACAAGAAGTCGGAGCCAGGCATTGCTCAAAGGTGTCACAATGCAGGCGGGCAGCAGAACAAGGCATCAGCAAACAAAGTGCAACGGCACTGTACTGCTGCGTTTTTTTTAAACACGGTGAGACTGTTAAAATTTTTTTTGCCTTGCGGACTGCATGTATAAAATAACGCATTTATGGAGTGAAAACAGCCAGCTGGAAAAGTGTGCGCTCTTTCTGCGTAACTGTGTGATAACCTCTGAAAGGACACTCCTTGGTGTCGTAATGTTTTTGCGCACAGGTGCCGCCCTCCGTTGCTAGTGGCGCCAGCTTGTGAGCTACAGCTGCTTCACCGGAAGTTCACGTTGAGTGGCTAGTCTTGACAGCTTTTTCCTGCGCCTTTCTCTTGTTTTACGTCAGGTTAGCCGGTCACCTGGACATGTTGGATTATGCGCAGATACCGCTGTCTCTTGGTGGCTGTTCCACGAGTTGACGCTTCCGGTTCTCTTTCTTTTTTATCTAGAAACCACATGTCGTATGATTACTCTTGCACCACATTCAAGAAGTCTTTCGCGTCGTTGTCATGCTTGAGAAGAAGCATTCAAATTGTAATTCATGGGTCCTGGGAGTGTACTTCTAACATTAGCAGAGTGTCATCCTGCGACGCCTTGCATTAGTATTGTCCGCAAGTCGTTCATCAAGTGGTTCCTTTCCAACGCAACTTGCATGGTCACCAGCAGTCTTTCTTTCTCCTTTCATTTCACTTTGGGGGTAGGAATGAAAGCCAGCCGATGTACCGGCTGTGGCATGCAACCCGATGGGTTGGTCCATGTTACGCACTCGGTAGACAAGCTTTTCACTATCCTCAAATACACCCCATTTTCGAGTCAGCTTTAAACTCTGCGTGCCATATTGCAGCCTCTCAAGTGAATTTGCAACATTTTTCGCTGTCTTCTTGTCATACGTGACAGTCGTTTGTGTAATTATGTTTTGTATCGAATAGCTTTTGTGCAACTCTGAAGACGTTTTGCTGTCTTCTCTCATTCAGTTCCCTTTAGACCGAAGGTGTCACCGAATCTCGCATGTCTATCATCTTTGCGAAAGGGAGCGCCGAAGCTTGAAGTGGGTGCTGGTGCTTTTGGTTTTTTGTGTATTTTCTCTCTGCTTGCGACTGCTGCACCTTCATTACGATAAGCTAATATTTCCCAATTGTTTTCACCTTTGCGGCGTTTATGGTACACATTTCCCCCCATACTCTTTCGAGGGTTTTTATACTCAAGTTGCTGCATGGCTTTTTTACATTTATTACACTCGTCCGCTACACCAAGCCACTTTGAATGCCGACATTATCAACATTGTGTAAGGTTGCTTTTGCGAACACTTGTAGTGCAAGCGCACTTGTAAAGGCCTGCTCCTGCGCGTGAGATTCCGGTTTGCTGCCGGGATGGCCACCTTGTGTTACTCCCGCTTCGGACTTCCTATAACGTTCCTAGTGTGGAGTGATGTGCGCGAAACGTTTGGTGGTTTCTCTCTTTTTGTCATGCCCATTTGTGTTGTGCTATCTCCCGGAATATGCACCAGTGCTTTTGTAGCTAGCAAACGTGTCATATCTTGATTATGAAAAATTTCCTTGTAAACACTCGCTGTTCAGTGATATGAAAACTTGCGCTTTGCTTCGTGTTGTGTTCACATATTCACTGCACATTCCTGCAATCGTGCTGCTGTTGACATAAAAAGCTAAACTGAAAACTGTTTCTTGGTGGGCACAACTTGGTTCCCCCTGTGACATAGTGGTTGATCAAAAAGGCGATGAGAAACCAGCGCAGTTAATTGCTGCTCACCTCTGGAGTCCTCCGTTGTAGTTTGTCCCAACAAGGTGCAGGCGTCAAGCACGAACAAGTTCTGCTTCAGTTTGCATAGCAAGCGTTCACAGCATGTACCAATGAGTGTTGCAAGCCGACTTATTCGGAAAGCACTTAAGAACTGCCCCTGCTGCACGGCAAGCTAGATGAGACCCAAATGTACATGGGCAACAGGGTTAACATTCTCATTCAATGGGCAATAATGCTGTTCCGATTTCCGATGATTGTGAACTCTCCCACTGATTGTTTGGGACGATTCTATTTAACTTTGCATTCTGTACTAAACTTTTGCAGCTTATTTTAGTCTTGACATATTGAGACACAGCTTGTGTCCTTGATGTGGGTCATCACAAAGACATTGGTGGTTGGACAGTTTTTGGATCTGTAACAGTTCATGAGCAGCACTTAATGAGTAAGCAGCTTGGATTCATAAAATTATTAGCTTTAAGTATAATTTGTGTTGGTATGACATTGGTTTTGACAACTAGTTTTGGTCAAGCGTATCATGTGACCCTATTTCAGAGGAGGGACTTCGCATAGTCACGTTGACGCTGACTACACATACAAGCTTTGCTAGGCTGTCTATTTGCCAGATGATGGAGCTGGACTCTCCTAGTTGGAAAACCATGCCGGACTATGCGAAAACTCTGCGGACATAATGGTTGCAGAACAGTCGCACAAACGTGGTTAATGCCATTAAGTGTGACTTCGACATTGATTCACAACGGAAGCATGATTACTGCATCCGCATGTCTCAGCCGAGGGTTGATGCCAATCAAACAGTATTTTCCGCTGTCTTCCTGCCTGGCTACACTTCCAGTGCACCATGGCACTGCACTTCTGTTTTCTCTCGTCTGGCTCGTAAGATATTTGAGTTGTACTACTGCGCTTGCTTATTTATTTCGAACATGGGTGACTGCAACTTTGAAATGGGAATGTTTCGCTTTCTCACTTGTCCTTTTGAACGTGAAAGGTTGTGAAGTGCTTGTTCAGCTTGGCTGTAACCACTGTGTGATTGAGTGAAAGGCAAAATGCACCGACTTTCAAACCACAGCTACACAATATGCAGAATGTGGAGTGAGTATTTGTGGGCAAACAGGCACATCTTTCAATCCTTGAGGTCGCTAGCTTTAGTCTTCTCCAAAACGCAAGAGAGAAACTTCTGCATTTTAGCACGGCGAGAGCTTTTCATCGTTCTCCGACCAAGAAGGTGTGCATGGTTCGTGGACGGTGAAAATTTTGTGTTGTGGGAGAAATGAACACTTTGGATCCGCTACTATGTGTGTTGTAGTTTGAAATTTCGTGGTTCATCTTTTTCCCTCTTTCATTTAGCGCTAACAGAGACATTTTGGTTTCTATCCTCAGTGTACACTGCATGAAAATTTTGCTTCTGTCGAGCTTATTAACCTATCGAAAGTTTTAAACATTGAAGATCACCTTAAGAATCTGCTGCAGACATTCAGGTACATGCTCATGCGTGTACCTTTGCGACTTTAAGAAGTAATGTCGGGTACTTGGCATGAAAATCTCGATATGGGCGAACTCAGGTGAATGTGGTTAGAAAAAAAATGTAAGGAGGGTAAGCAACCACGGCAATGCGACATGCTATCTGTATAAACCCCCTTGCCACTGTGGTGGCCGTGTCCATCTAGCATCTCGGAAACGCCGAGAAGGAATGTAGATGCCTGTCTTTCCAGGCGAGCTGTCGTCACTTCTGCAGATCGCTTTGCGTCGTGCAGGGCTTGTACCAAACGCCTCTCACTCTTGTGGTTGGTGCTAGCATGGTGGATAAAAGAAAAATCTATCTCGACGTTGTAATCGGTAGGTGGTAGGCAAAGGTTTTAGGCTGGTCTCTTTGACTCTCACTTCTGCGGCCCCCATGGTGTTTATGCCAAAATGCATAAGATGCTGATACGGTTACCCTTTATGGGAAAGGTAGAAATTGCTGTTACGTTCTGGTTTTATGGCAGTGGTGTGGTAGAGCTGTAGGAGTTAGTGCCTGTATATATACATACATGTATATATACACAGGGGCATATATCTACATGTTCATATGTGTGTGTATTATGAACAATCAGACACTTTTTAAAAGGGACATTTTATTGCTAGCATGTTTTGGATGATGGTTGCGCTGTGGAGAAGGGGGGGCTAGTAGTGAAGAGGTGGAGGAGAAAAGGAAAGAATTAGGAGAGGTAGTAAAACATCACTGTTTAGCGTAAGTGGTGATGTCATCACTCTCTGGTCATGAGCAAGAGGTGGTTCTTCCTGAAATTGAAAGAATGGCAATATTCTGCAGCCCTCGAGGGAAAGCTTCACTCGTACTGATTTTTATTGCGACGCACGGCATGACAATGTACATCATGGTGACTGTTTCAAGCAGCATCTTCTGGATTTCGGTGTGAGTCATCATTGTGGCTGTGTCGTTTTAAGTTTCTCTGTTATTTGGATGTCTAGACGTAAAATAGAGCAGTACTGGATTAAGCTTGTCCGCTACAGTAGACTGTATAGTTACGAGCTCTGTAGGCGTACTTTATCGTAAAATGGGTATACCGCTCAAAGACCAAACTGTGAACAGCTCACTTTGGGGGGTAAATGGTAAACGAAAAAGAAAATGGAGTGGTCAGATGGAGACAACGGAAGGGGAACAGATGGGAAAATCGTCTGTTTTCTCTCATGCGTCATCTGTCGTTCACACTGTTTTGCTTTTGTATTATGTGCTGTATTTACAAACTCATCCACTTGTGGTAGTTTTCACAGGCGCTGTGATTAAGTTGCCAGCCTTGAGTGTCGTGGCAATACGTGTGGTTGACATTTCACTCTCGTATTCACATTAGAACAGCATGGAACGTTCACATGGTATTCGAAATATTGCTCAGACTCATTTGACACTTGTAGCCTACGCATTGCACAAGCTAAATACAAATAAAAGGAGTGCTTCAAGTGCAGGTGCTGAGAATGTCGCACACAAATTCATTTCACAGCTTCATCCCTCCGATAAGTGTCCGATCGAGCTGAAAGTTTGATGTAATGTACGATTCAATTGGTCGCTGTTTGTGCAGACTCGACCGGAGTGCACATTCACCTTCAAAGAGAAACCTTGTTTTCTTTTATGTGTGCATGTGATGCAAGATGCCCTGGTGATATAAATGTCGTGTCCTACTATTTACTGGCTACAACAAAAATGTCTCGATGATTGCCATGAAGTGATTTTTTTCTAATGTGGGTGCAAACAATAGGCTATAGCTTGTGCTGATGTTATGAAACACTTGGCTTTTTCTCTCTCTCTTGTTTACATAACAATGGGCGCTATGCATCTTGACACTACACGACGTATCATTCATGGCTGCAGTGATGTGAATGCAGAGAAATACATGGTGCTTTTCTGCTTGGCACAATTATCTCGTGATCTGTACTTTGATGCCGAGTTCTTGTGGTGGGCTGTATGATTCCTTCTACAGGCTGTTGATGAAAAGGGAGTGCCCAAAAGGCGAAACACCTTTGTTGTTACCAGTCATCTCAAGATTGTCAAAACTAGCACAGGAGTAGAGAGCTCACGATTCTTGTGCTATGTTGATCTTGTCATGGTGCTAACACACACACACACGCATAAAGAAAATTTGTCCCCTTCGAGCTGCAGTATTGTAAAAGCAGCAGTTTGGCGCCCTGCAACGTGTGCACTTCATTTGAAGGTTGAGGTGCTATTTGAAGTTATGATGTGGAACTTCGTTAGAAGGTTGATGTGGAATGAAATGGCCAGGAGTCCTTGTGCTAGTCCCGGATGAGCATTTGTGAACAGCATTTTCAGGCGTTTCTATGTGTCCATTTTTTCAGCATTCTTGCTACTGCACGCTCGTCTTTAGCGAAAACAGGAAATCAACGGTGTAACTCTTCTTCCTTCAAATTGCTTGATTTGCGTAAAATAAGTGCTTTTTCATTAAAATAGTTTGTCAGAGGGAAATATGAGTAGGTATAACGAGGCTTGCCTGCTTGATTGCTCCTAGATGAATAGCAACTACTCACTTAGGGGAATTGGCATTGGTGTAGTTTGCCTACTTTATGTTGCTTATACCACTTTGGAGGATTTGCCAAGAGTTAGGTGATTTTATAAATTTATATAAATGCAACAGTAATTATGTTTGCTAAGTGCCGTCTTTTTCGTCGACTACTCATGCAAGCGTTTTACTTGTTTCCTGAGTGAAAGCTCTGAAGTAGGAAGTGGCTTGTGTATTTTGTAAAGTAAGAACTTGAAGGATGAAACGAAAGAAGAGAAAACACATTCAGCAGCACCAAAATGGAAATACATGTGACATTCACTACCATACAGGACTCGGCAGAAGCACAGGTGTAGCTTTTGTGCTCTCAATTGTGTTCTCAATAAGAAAAAAAGCAGTGCCCATTCTTTAGACAGTTGCAGCTGCTCGCTGTACACATGTCAACTACTCTGTCACACTACTGTGTATGTGCTTCATACTTTGCTGTGGCCTCTGACAGTCTTTATTGCAGTATAGTTTACAGGTAGGTATACAGGGCAATACTTTTGTGGTTGTAGTTGTGCAACTGAAAAATTTCAGGAATACAGGAACTTATGGGAACAAGCGTATTGACCCAGTGGTATTGCGTTATATTCACTTCGAATCCCTGTTACACATCACAAAGTTCAGAACTTTCATTGGATGTTGCAACTTGTCTTTACCATGCATGGAGCATGTTTAGCGTCGCATAAGAGCTGTTACTAGTCACGGAGAAGAAGTTCATCGGTGTTTCAGTGCTGTTTCATTGTGGAAATTCTCAGGCATAGTGACTGCTATTAAAAGCATTTTACTGCTCTTGTGCAATTTTGTGCCTAGCAAATGCAAGGACATGATCCAGGCATTGTTTATGGCACTTTGGTTAATTGGAGCGCACTTTGTATACAGTTTGAAATTTAATGCAGCATCCACTGATGTCTTAAACAGGACTTCTTCTGGTGTGTGAGCTCTGTAACAACACTCTTGTGGGAAGAGGTGAAAGCATTAAAGATTGTTAATCTGTGTAGAACAGTTGAGCCCAAGTTCAACTGTAGTAGACAAGTTCTTACACGGGTGCTCGTAAAACATTGTTTTACACTCCACTAATCTGTCTTCGCCATGCATGCCAAAAGTAAAGTTGACGAAGTGCTGTTTTTTTCATACCAGCCAATGTTGATTTTTCATGCACGTTGTCATCTTGACTAGCTTTCTTTCTTGCTGAATGTTGTTTGGATTCATGGAAGCAAGTCGGCAGTCTCTGTTGGTGTATGTTGCCTTCTTTATTAAATCATCTTCTTTTTGACCGGTAAAAAGGGTGACTTAGAAGAGGGCCGCCTTGTTTACTGGTCTATAGTGGAAGCATTACTGATGCGTGCATGAAGTCAAGGTGTGAAACACGAGCGTGATCATTGTTTTAGGTGGCACCCTTCCTTTAGAGGCAGCAGATTTCGAAACTTGCTCGCTGCGCGCTTAGCACTCCAATTTCAAAACCCTTTGTAGCCTGGAAAGTTCCTCAGGACTGTAGGCGTGTAGACAACTTGTAGAGCCGAGGTCTTGCTCACTTCATTCGTGCTAAAAGAAGTGTATGTACAGGAACTTCAACTTTATTGTCCGTTGCTAGATTGAAGAGCATTCTGTCATGACCTAACATCAATCTGTTAATGTTGAGAAGTCGGCAGACTGTAGAATTTCAGAATTAAGTTACTACTTTTTAGAAGAAGGTGTAACTAGTACTAGAATCGCAAGCAGTGTAAATAGGAATTGGGCAACTAGCCACCTCCTAGTTAACCAGCTAATCATTAAGTATGAGTGCAATATTGGCTTTAGCGACATTTCTGCAGGTGGAAGGCAACAACTGATTACCACGTCGAACTGGAAAACTTAATTTTTAAAGAGAACTGTAGAAGTCGACCCTTAAATTCAAGCAGCTGTTTACTCTGTTAAAATTTACAAAAAAAGATTTAAGCCGTGCAGTTCTGACTGACTTACTGTCAGTTCAGCAGATGTACTAAACCGTCTTAGCTTCTGCTTTATACAAAATTTAACGTATAGCTCTACATTGACTCAGGGTCAATTATACAAACGCAAAGACACCTTGTAGCCTTGTATTTAAAAGGCAACTTTGCACCATGATTGTGAGCTTCCTGCACTGTACTTTCAATTATTAAATCTTCTTTGATTGAATATCTACTGCATCCTATTGACTCGTAAAAACATTTGATCGTATACAGTGACGTGCTTGTTTCTCAAGCCGTTTTCAAGCAATACCTATCTTTATTTAAATAAATGTGTGCTATAGATGGGCGGTTTGTAACGTTGAAAATCGAGAGATGTGCATAAGAATCTGAACTTAATTGAAGTAGCTGATGCTTCAGGTTTCCTAGCATCGCGAATATCTACTGGAAAGCAGAACCTTCTGTCAACAGTTGCCCTACAGACGGCTTCTTTGAGGTCGCAAGCCTGTATTAGGTTTTCACATTAAAGGGGAGATGAGACTGTGGTGTCGCTTATGATCCTGAGCATGAATTCATGCGTCGTACAAGAACCTGACAGCCCAAATGATATGTAGGAACGCGCGCATTTGTGGTTTTACGTGTCGTTTTGTTTTGCGCTGCGGATTGCGAAGCGGAGCACCCGAATCTAATTTACTGTTATGATGCTTCGTAAGCCGAGCTGTGTACACAAGAGAAAAAAAAAAAACGGTTGTAGCAGTGGTCAGGTCGCGATGTGGTCGGGGGGCTATTGTGCCGTTGCTATGCTGGCTATCTCTTGTACAAAGAAAAGAAAAATGACGGTAGCTTTTTTTCTCGATGGAAAAAAAGCATTAATGTCACGCAATCGATGTGCTGTCTACTCGGGTGTTTCGTCATAACACGCAGATGGGGAAACGGGATGAAAAACATATACTTGCGGTGTCGAAAAAATGCGTGTGTAAGTGTGCGTGTCTGCGAACACAATCACCCGTGTTTGTCTTTGTGGCGGGGTGGGTGGGGGGGGTGTCCTAAAAGGGATGATGGAATACGAGGAGGATTTTCCATTGACCCGTCTACGTACTCGTGAATGTGTCGTACGACCATTTTCCCAAGCTGTTCGTGTAAAGCTACTCCGGAACTGGATGTGCTTGTCGAGGAAAGAATAAAGTAGCTCGGAGTCTCCATGAAACTTCTCGCCCCCCCCCCCCCCCCCCCGACCCCTTCATTTTATCTCGCTTAGCGTAATTTATCGAAACTTATCCAATGGAAGGTACACTGTGTGTTGTGGAAGCACCGCTGTAGCTGCGAACTCTATTTGCTGCTACAAACTATTCGTTCATTCAATTGCACAAAGTGTGAGTGGCGTTTATTATTATTATAGTAAGTACTCTTGTGAAAGACCGATTGTCCTCTCCTATGCGTTCGTTGACTCCTGAACAGTGGCCGTTTCTTCTCCGAATGGCTCAGAGAAACAGGAGGAAACCCGAGGTTATGGCGAGATGTGTAAGGTCGCTCGAAAACTCTGAAGTTCTGTTGACGTATAATCTGTCTGTAGCGGGAACATTGATTATAATCGAGTTGAGTTGAATTAACTTTATTTGTCCAACGGCTGTTCCTGTGCCCTGGGCTAGGCTGCCAGGGACACATCGTTCGAGGAACATCTTCCGAGGTCCTCGGCGAAGGCCCTGGGCCCGCTGGACGGCCTACACCTGGTCTTCGAGGGCCTCGCTGAGAAGGGCGGCTTGCCATTGCTCAGCAAGGCGCTGAAAACATTGTCCCTCTTCGGTCGTCCTGCCCGTAAAGCACCGCCGGCTATAACTGAGCGATGCATTGCTTGACGAGGTGCAAGCGAGATACATATGCACAGTTTTCTCGTTTGCTGATGTGATGGGGGAACAAAACACACGCACACACAATCGAGCGATCCCCGCAAAACTGTTTACGTGAGACGGTGGCGCTTTTCTGTATTTATTTCTCGCATAATTTTGCAAGCCTGCGGGATTGAAGGAGTGTAAGTGGCCAGTCAGTCAATCCGAAATGTGATGGTTTCTAATTCCCTTCGTTAGCTTGTGACACCACGAATTATTTATTCTCCGCACCGCTGACGATGCCATTGCTTCTCCCTGCTTATGCGAGTCACATGGCGTCTTTGTTATGTGCATATTGTGTGTTGATTGTGGACTGCGTTGAATCTCTTCATTCTTTCTTGTGGGGAAAAGTGGGAGCTCTTGCGAACGCGAGCTGTCTCTTGTACTCTATTTTTCATTCGTCTTCACGTTTCCCCGTTTTGCGTATTCTAAATGTACTCAGAGATGACAAACCTATCGAGAAAAAAATGTACATTCTCAGAGCGCGTGCTATGTAGATTGAATGCTAAATAAAGTTCGGTTCTTCCCAAAGAGGGGCACGTGTCTTTGCTTGTCGAATAAAAGCTCAATTGCTTGGACATAATGTGGCACGAAGCATGAATACACCGTGGGGCCACAAGGAATTGCATAAGCCAGAACCTTGCTGTGTCAAACTTCTCTGCCATTGAAACTCCGTCACGTCACATAAGTCAGGTAGATGCCAAACAGGACAAAAACGAAACTTTGCAGAATGAGCAGTAACTTCAGACGGCGGAACGCTTTGCTTTTGACAGCGAAGCTTTATAGGGGTATAGAAGGGTTGAATGAGGCCGCGGCCCCGAGGTGGCGCCACCGTCGGAAGGGCAGTGCGTTCATCTTAGTGCTCTCCGTGCTGGCCTGGCGCTCGGCGCGTTCTATTCGTACACACTGCAACGTCATGCACACAGCACCTTTCGCCGTTTGTTCAAGTCATGCACGTGTCACGCATACAGCCTCTCGCCGTTTCAACAGAACCGGTAGTGCGCCACCAGAGAACATAGTGCAACCATGGACCACAGAGATGGCGGCGGATGACGTCACTTGCACACCAAGCGGATGACGTCACTTGCAACCCTCTTATAGGTTCTGGCAGATCGTGTATGAGAGGTATTCACGGAGCTTTTCTCGCCAGGGGGCGCTAGCAAGTGCGCCGTCGTAGAGTTACTATATATGCTACCTTCAGGTAGCAGAGTTGCGCCAAGGTACGCCATCTTGGGTTCAAATGTCTTGCGGGAAAGCCACTCACCACCTGCGTAGGAGCAACGCTCGCGCTTTAGAGTGCTACATAGTCTCTCAATATTGAGTGATTAAGGTACTAGCGTTGCTTTATTTATTTTTTCGCTTTCTTTAAATTTCTTTGAAAGTATGAGTGAAACTCGGTTGCTCCGGTCACACCTAGAAGCCTTGATTTGATGCTTACGTTCTTGGTATGTAATAAAGAAACAAAGTGCGTAGCTCGTTCAACCAGTGAGTTACATATTTATGGTTGGTTACACTAGCTTCGCCTTTTCCGCTGTTTTTCCCATTTACAAATATGAAATTATTTTTGCACTTCTGAACGCAATCTGACCAGTTAGGGATTAAATTTTTTTTAATCATGTTGGACTCATTCGTTAACTGTGTGAGGGAGCCAGGTGTAGTTGTATCGCCTTCAGCTGAATCGAGCTGAACAGCGATCGAGAGTACCCATGCGACGCCCATATTACGCACGGCTCTCTATTGCGCCCGTATTACAATCGCGGCTCACGACAGCTGATGTGAAACAACAGCCGATGTCAACAACGCTTGATCCGCCCGGAATCATCGTAGCGTTGGCTTCTCCGCAGCGCATTTGAACCACTTATGACCACGTGATGGCGCTCGGCGAATAGGGGTGCTGAAGTCCTGTAGGCGGAGCGAGCGGCGCCTGGAAAACAGTGGCACAACTCTGCTACCTAGAGGTAGCATATACAGTAACTCTACGCCGTCGTAGCCGTGATCCGTCAGCAATCGGAATATGACAGCGTGATGTGTAGTGGCGCTGCGCTCACGAACCCCGTTTTATTAGAAAAATAGCATTACTCGTGCTGCCGAGAACGATGGTTTTGGTACTGAACAAGGGTTACGGCCCTGATGATTATTTTTGTGCGCGAGACCACAAGTATGGATGGATTGATTGATATGGCTGTACCCTTTAGATCGGGCGGCTAATGCCACGTAGCCGTAGTACTTAGTGAACGAAAACTAAATTTATATTTTTTAATGGCGAAGTTAAGCACTGGCACTTTGCAGTTTAGAGTTTAATTTTTACTCGTTAATTTTACTTGTTAAGTTTAATTTTTACTTCTAAACCGATAATTCTTTTTGGCTTGGCTTCCTGCAGTTTTTTAAGTATTTACCGGTCAATTTTCTGGTTCGCTTCCTCCAATTTGTACCGACATTCTTCATGTACAAGTAGCTGAATACCTTCCTAGCCCAACGCTCCTTCCCCATTTCTCTCAATCGTTTCTCAAATTTTATCTTGCTGCTAGCTTCCCTGCCCTCGAATGATGTCCATCCCCTATCACCTTGTACTCCCTGAATAGGTGTATTCATGTGAGCTCCTAAAGTATACCCATTCCACGTTGCTTAATTTCTAATCTTGCTTGAACTTCTGATCTCATGCACAAGACCGCATTGCCGAACGTCAAAGCAGGAACCATGACCCCTTTTCATATTCCTCTCACAACATCATACCTATTGTAATTCCGCAGTACCCTGTTTTTCATCACCGCTGCATTCCTGTTACCTTTAGTCGTCACGTATATTTCGTGTTCCCTTAGGTACTCGGTCCCATTGCTTATCCGTACGCCCAGATATTTGTATTTATCTGTTATCTCTAGCGTGACTTCCTGTATTCTAAGGTCACTACCTTCATAATTTAAAAATCATGACTGCTAATTTTTCTTTACTGAATCTGAAATCTGACCTATCTTCCTCATTACCGCAGATGTTCATCAATTTCTGCAAATCTTCCTTGTTATCGGCCATTAGCACTATATCATCTGCATACATCAATGCTGGTAGTGCCTGTTCAATGAGTTTGCCTTGTTTGACGAAAGAATGATTGAAGCCCAGTCCACTTCCCTCTAATTTGGCCTCTAATCCTTGTAGGTACATCATGAATAACAGGGGTGACAGAGGACACCCCTGCCTAAGCCCCCGTTTTATCTCCGTGGGCTCAGATACAGGCAGGTGTCGTTCGCTCGAAGGGAGAAGAGCGGCAATGGAAGCAGCGCCAACGCACAGGGGAGCGCGAAGTGGGGTAGAGACGACGTGGCAGCTGCCGCAGAACGTTCAGCTGCAGAGTGGCTACTGTAGCAGTTGACTTCTACCATCACAGTAAAGGAAGGCCTCTCAGTTTCTTTGGTATATCCCTTTAATATCAGCGGAAGAATATTAACATAGATAAGAATACGGCAAAAAGATGAGGGGTTAGCGTATAGGGCTTTGTGCCAAGTTTTCTTAGTACAAAACTGTATCCATGGGCTGAACCATGAACCATGGGCTGGTTTATTCTAAAACCTTCATTATCTTAAAATTCCATAAGGTTTTATAACATCACCAAATTCTTGGTCAATACTCCACAATTGGGCTGAGCCACAGTAGAAGACAAACAAGAACAAGTAACAAGTGAAGAACAACTATGTCACTCCTTCCGTATTACGTACGTAGTTTTGCTTTTGGGTATAAGTAATGAATACGCCCCGCCGCGGTGGTCTAGTGGCTAAGGAACTTGGCTGCTGACCCGCAGGTCGCGGGATCGAATCCCGGCTGCTGCATTTTTGATGGAGGTGAAAATGTTGTAGGCCCGTGTGCTCAGATTTGGGTGCACGTACGTTTAGAAACTCCAGGTGGTCGAAATTTCCGAAGCCCTCCGCTAAGGCGTCCCTCATATTGATGTGGTGGTTTCAGGGCGTTAAACCCCACATATCGATCAATCAATAGATAACGAATACGAAAAAAGTCTCACTAAATTATATAATCTATTCTTGCATGATCCCCCTGAGTCGGTATGAGCCATGTTTGAGGATTCGTCATTGAGGCGCCTTAATTACCATGGGGCACACGTGGCACGTTGGCAGCGAAGAATAAGCTCAAATAGTTTGGCGTCTGGTTGCGCCAGGCATCTAAGTGCCACAACCGACCGACTTTGACCGCAGTAAAACGCGTTTCATCTTTTTCTCATCATGAGCGAAGGCAGTGCGCAACCCAAGGCCGATGGCAAAGATTCCAAGGCTGCGAGACGTCGTCGTCGGAGCCGCTCTTGGGGTGGTACGGGATCTTTGACTGCACCTAAGAAAAGGTGAGCTTTGCTGCGCCAGTTCGACGGGTGAGACAGACGGATTCAGTCGGGCGCACTGGAGCATCAACGCGCCTGTTTTTTTCCCCCAGAGGCGCTGGATGTATCAGCCATAAGTAGGTGTCCAATAAATACAGAAATTAGAGACGAATCCTCCCCCCCCCCCAACCTGAAGTAATAACAGCTTCACCTTAATTAACCGGAGCTAAATTTAGGCATGACGCAGGAGCAAGTCCGGAGGCACTTTTTCATTATCGCCGGATTACATAATCGCACAGGTGTGCGCAGAATTTCAGGTATTCTATAGAAACGTGATTATGCTTCCTTGACGTCATCATGGTCGCTGTGTGTATGTACCAGACCGAATCAAGAACCGGCAAATGTGGGCCTTCACGACGCCACTACGCACGCGCCGTTTCCCTAGCGGAAAAGTCACGAAATGTCTCTTCACCTCCCGGTGACGGCCAAGCTATAGACTGCTCCTGCGCACGCGCAGGTGCCGTGTCACCTTAGATGCATTCCTTCTACTAAAACGGCATCACCACGAAAGAAAAAAAAATGAAAGAGGTGGATTGCACGCTAGTCGCCAGTGTTCGCTAGCCATCGGCTTTGACGCGACCAAGCAGCCCAAGTGCTGAACACAGACAAAATAGTAGGTTGAGATTACGCATGGATACACTGAACGTAGAGGCAAGACTATAATCTGGTTTAGCTGATAGTATTAGAACGCACGAGTTAACAGTTATAACTACTGAGCCGGTGAAAAGTGTTTCCGATAAGAAGAATCGATAACTGTGCAACGTTCGGTGAGAATCCAAGGGAAAAAAAATACAAGATCCGCCCACAAAACTGCATAGCGCCTTCCTTTTACCGACGAAACAAAATTGTGCTAGTCGGATTTCCGCTCGCATCGTAAGTACTTTGTCTCGGATAATGTAAATACCACGCGTATTAAGAGGAAATCGTCGCTACTACCTGAAACATTAAGTGCCATAAAGCAACAATGTCAGAACCTCTGCGAAATTTGTGAGGACCTTCAAGTTTCCAACCTAAAACCAGCGACGCAATCGTTTTGTCTGTTGGAAAGTCGACTACTTGAAACACTGGAGAAGTGCTCGATGTCACGAAAATGAATAATGGTTATTTGATGCAGCATTTATGCAAATTCTTTGTGGGAGAGAAAGCGATGGCTGC